ATACGTTTAACAAAATTTAAGTGACATAATTGGTGGGAGCGTTATTAGGTTTAAACGGAGACACAAGTAGTTATGTGGGACAACTTGTTCGTCGTATTCGTCGTCGATACACTTTAATTAACGGGGGAAATCAAGTTTACCGGGCCACTGGCGGTCGTGATAGTTCCATCCTGGCAAATTAACGGCGCAAGGACATGCAAATCGAGTTTTCGAATTTATTTCGGAACAAATTCTTGTTTTTATAGGCATTCGTTCAAAACACATTCGCACATAGATAAATATTAGCTGTTCGTTAAAAATTGGGGGATTTTGTAAAATAGATAAATAAATAAATAAGAACATAGGGGACAGGTGTTTATCTTACTCGTATTGGTCGTTTCGCAGAACGTGCATTCCAAAAATTTGGAACCATCGTGTGCGAGCTTAGCATTCGTGAAGTTTTCCTCAACTTTTTGAAACAGCGAAGAAACGCGAACAATTTGTGACTTTTTACTCCATTAACGTGATTTTCGCCCCATGGGACCAGTTCCCGACGAGGGATGCAACGAAACTTTTATACACTTGCAAACAAATACTTGTTTCGAATACAATGTACTTCAATGTACAAGTACGAAATTCTATTTTCAAATTCTTCTCAAATGTCTCGAGAAACAATTTGTAATTTTTTTTCTTCTTCTCCTTTTAATATCTATACCGTTGAAGAAAAATAATTAGTTAAAAATTTCGAATAAAGTTACTTTAAATAATTACTTATTAAAATGCTTAAATAACATTTATTCGTATATAGTTGATCCGTTTTTCGGTATAATTTTGACCGTTTGACGTTGGAATTATTTCCGATTATGTCACAATAAATTATTGAAGTAACTTTACTCGTAATTTCAACTAATAAATTTTATTTGTCCATCGTTGGTTACATTCTCTCATCTAATCGACAGGAGCTAAATAAATTCACTGTTCGAATAAATTTTACCAATTTCGTAATTTTCTATTATCGCCAATTCATTATTAATGAACTAATCGAATCAAACGGCGTTAATCTAACGAATCTAACGAATCTGAAAAGCCAGATCACGGACGGTTAACCCGTTGTCGACTCGACTTTCCTCTGATGTCTCTCTTTCTATTCGTAGAAATTCGTTTGCAAAAGAAGAGCGCGACACGGCGACGAGTGGAAGCCGGAACTTCCTTTCCCGCGACGCCTTCTTTGTCAGACTTTCAACGATTTTCCTCCCTTTTATCGAGCTTCCCGTCGACGATCCCTCCCTCTCCGCGAAAATTTGTCCCGTAACGGAAAGCAAAGGCGGGGAATTTTGTTCGACAAAAATAGCCAAGATTCTCCGAGACGTTTGAAACCGCTTCGAGCTATCAGCTATCGATCCATTATGGAAACTCTTTTGAACTTTTTTCACGTTTCTCCGCCAGATTTTTATCGGCAAACGCGTTTAACGATCACTCGTGAATTAACGTTTTTAAAACAACTTTCCTTCCAAATTTTCCTTTTAATTATATCTCGAGGACTTTCTTTTTTTTTTTTTTTTAACTTTTATCTTTTTAAAGTTTAGAAATTTTTCATCGAAACTTGCTACTCTCCTCGACACTACTACTCTTTATATAGTTATTAAAAGCGCAGAGAAAAGTTTTCACGTTTCAATCACGAATGATATAATACCTTGAACCTCGCCTTCAACTTTTCCCATATCTAACTGAAACAATCTCCCTCCACTATCGATACGCGAGCGCAACTAATCAACTCCTCGACTGTCTCCACCTTTCCATCCAACGAACGTTGTCCCGTTTCCCGAAACAAATCACTTTCGATATGACGTTCAGTATTCGATCAGCCCGGATAGAAACGGAATTGGAGATTCGGCGTTTCGTCGCCCGGAACAGTCGAAAGAGTGAAATATTCACATTGTTCGCATATGCTTCTTGTTCGCCCCAATTTTTCGAACATTGGCCAGTTACGGTAGCCGCCCAACAAACGCAATCCAAAATTCTTTTCGATTCGAGTCGAGATCGTTGGCTCCCGGTCTTGAATCCCCGACACGAACGAATATCTCTCGAATACGAGAGATAAAGCCTTCCTGAAACGAATTTCTGCAAAATATTCTTCGCTTCGACAAACAATTTTTTATCAACGCGTCCAGTACGTATTCCCGTATCGATTTTGGCTCGTAATCTCGGCGGAGGATTATGCGGAAATGAGCGATACCCGCGTGGTGAGGGAAATCAATAATATCGTGGACGATGATGCGGCAAAGGTACGGCGATAACGCTCTGTAATTGCTGGGTATCGCGCCGTGCAAATTATTAGATTTTACATTCGAATATTTACATTCGAGTTCGAAACGTTTATTTATTATTTGCTTAAATATTCGACGAAATTAAAATTGACACGTCCAAACGAGATAGGTATATATATATATACGTTATATCCTCGAAGGATTAAAATTATAATTATAACCAAGCATCTAAAGTTTTATTGTTGAGAGAATTTTATTATTTACAAATCTTTAGAATCTTTTTTAAAATTATTGTTTAGAAATCTTCTCGTTTAATATTCTCCGAGATCCTTCTCCTCAAAATCATCAGGAACGAGACAACCTTTCGAAAAATTTTTCGAAAGATTCGGAGAGATAGATCTCCTTACCGATCCTTTCTTTTCCCCTGCTGACTTCGATATGCATAATCTGCCAAGGATTAGCGAGGAGAGACACGAGAGATAAACGGCGTGAGTCGAGATTCGTCGTGGTTGGACAAAGCCGTTTCGGGGCGACCGATGCCGGCCCTTGATCGGCGATATAATTGTTTCGAAAGCGAGCAGCGGAGTAAGCGAACGTGGAGGCTCGTGAATATTCTCTCGTGGAAACGCGATGCGCCTCGGATGCGCGTCGTTGCATCCTCGAATATTACACCGCACGGTGTACACACGGTGGAAAGTGGTAGAGGGAGGGGGAAACGGAAGGGAGGTAGGAAATGGGCGAAAGAGGGAAGTTATAGAAGCGGCGTTGAATTATGGCCGTTGCCGAGTACGGTCGGTAATGCGGTCTCGCAATGCGGTACACCCGTTTCCTACGATTTGCTTCGTTTAACGAACCGTCGTTTCATCGATCCAAGATTCATCATAATCCGAGAGTCGAGTAGGATAAAAGTAGGTAATGGTTCCCGGCTGATGCCAAACATACGTCGAAAGCCTCTTCAGAGATCTTGTTCGTGCGATCGCCTCCTGGGCTTTGCACCCGAGGATTCTTTCTTTCGAATGCGAATCCGCAAATTACGCGACCGTTCAATGTTTATGGATATACGATGACTATGTTAAATAATTGTTTTTTTTTTCTTACGTATTTAAGATACGTATTTTCCTTCGTTTCGAAAAAATTTTTTTACAAATAATCGAATTACTTATCGTTCGTACAATAAAATAAGCAGATTCAACGATTAATCGGCTATCGATCGCTGTGGAGGTTGGCGGAATCGATGAGGATCGATAAATTAAAATTCATATTTTCCTTCATTTTGGAACGGACAATTTCCTTCGATTCCTCCTCCTCTAATTCCATCCAGTTGTCCAAGTTTCGTAGGGACGTTAGAAGGATATCTGTGGGTATCAGGAACAGAGATGGAAAGTTTCCGCGCTTTCACACAGTTGGCGCGAGAATTCCATCCAAGTTTGACTCGGAAGGGATCGTGATGAATTACCTGGCCGAGGCACGTGGAAAAGATGTTTCCTACGGAAACGTGTGTTCGCGCGTCATCTTCCACCCCGTGCATTGTTTGCTTACGCTCTTTCTATAGAAGCTGATCGCGCGAGAAAGAAAATGAGAGAAAAGTGGGACACGCGATGAACGCAGAAGATCGTTGTTCTCGCTCGTTTGCACGAGGATTGCCCGTCCTATCCTCTATCTTGGGTTTCCCTCGTTTTCCATTAGGTTCGTGGAAAATCACGACGCGTTTTATCCTCCGCGTACACGTCGATATCCACACCGTCGCCGATACCCGTTTTTAATTGCATCCTTTATTAATCCTGTATTAATTGCTCGAATCACGCGCGACGATCGAGCCGATAATCTTCGCGATAAGGTAAAAAGCGTTCGTCTTTCGCCTTACTCTCCTCCCTCTTTTTCCGTTGGCACGGAATTATCGAACCGGTTGGCAATGCGAGTAACACTCGAGAGGCCTAGACGTATCGCTCGTATCGATGATCGCAGAGACAGATGTCGGAAAGGGGTCTCTCGAGAGGAGAGGAGACTCTCGAGAGTGATTTGGAAGATGGAGGTTTGCCCCGATAGGGAGCAATAAGTTGGCATAACCGGTATGGACGATAGGAATCCGCTGACTTTGGTCTGGCTTCTTCTTCTTCTTCTTCTTCTTCTTCGAGGCGAGGCGAGGCGAGTCCTTACCGTGCACTTGAAGAGGGAAGCCTTTTTCTTTCTTTCTTTCTTTCTTTCTGCCAGCCGCGAAAGTGCCGAAGCTACCTCGCGGCTTGCCAACTTGAAACACTCGAGACCCCTCTTCACAGCTTTGCTTTCGTATACGCGATTTGTCTCTCCTCGACCGTGCTCCTTTCCTTCTCTCCTTGGCAATTGCGCCGATTTTCGGTAGGGAACTGCTCGGGGAAAATGCTTGCCCACGTGGGATAAACGCCCACGCGTGTGTGGAGAGATTTTCTTCGCCCGGCGGCTTATCTGTCCCCGCGATAAATTTAAAGTCCCCGCAGCTTTTATAAATGATCGGTGGCCAACTGTAATTTACATAAGAAACGATATCGCAGAGCTGTGCGGTTCTGCTTCCATAAAAGGTTTTTCGATACATGTCTGGCAATATGATACATTGTTATACGGTACGGAATTCGATTATTTTTTTTTTTTTTTTTTTTTTACATACATATTTTGATAGAAAAACGATTGGAATTTAGCATTAACGTATTGTTTATTGTTATTCAATAAAGGATCTCGAATCATTTTTTTAATCCTTGTCTCTTACGTTTTCTGTTCCAGGTGAGTATCGCGCTGAACGGATACGAAGATTCACTTTAATCCCGATAAACGGTGAGCCAAGAAACACGATCGTTTATGGTGTGTAACGTAGATGGTAAACAGCGAGGAAAAAATTACTTGCGTTTCTCGTCGAGGCCACTTTCCCGCGCCAAAATTAAAATACTCCGCCCGCCCCTTTTACGGTATCCAATTCTCTCGGTCAACCTCTTCCTTCTTCGAGGTATTCTTCGAAAACGCGGCCTCGTCTGCGCGGACTATGTTCGCTCTCTCCGGCATTTTTAACGAAAATGGAGCCCATTGTTCGCGCCGATGATCGTCGTCCCCCTGGACGAATGGCGTCGTCGTTCTGGTAATTGGAGCAGACCCGGCCACGGGAGTACCAATTAAACTTATATCTCGCGATGTCTTTATTGTCGCCGCTTGAATGCGGTCGCGTGCCTCAATTCCTGGCTAAATGAGTTTCCCCCTCATTGATTCGCGGTAACGATATCGCGGTGAAAAGTTCCCACCTCTCTTCCTGACTTCCGCTCTCCCTCTCTCTGCCTCTCCCTCTTTGTCGCTTGCTCCTTCGTTTTCCGCCAAACGAAAGAATCTTTGTATTCTTTGATCGGCTCGGAACGAAAAAAAAATAAGGAAGAAGGAAATTAATTTGAAATCGATTTTCGATGGAAACGAAGCATTGAATTTTCCCGCGGAATTTAATAATTTATCGGATTTTCCTTTCGTATGTGTTCGATCGTGGTGAAAGTGTCACACTTTCGCCCCCTTAAGTTAAACGAACCGCGTGTCGCGCCAATTTCGTCAACTCCAAGATTTTCCCCTTCCAATTTTTCCCCCGTTACGTAGCCCTTATATAACCACCACTCGACGCGCGATAAATAACATTTCTTAATCGGTGTTTCGTAAACACTTCTCTCGGAGAGATTCTCGCCTCGGAATAATAGAATTATTCTCGAACTGCCTCGAATGTTAATTAACTATATATAGGGGATTCCAATTAACGATCCGCGCGTCGTAAACCGTGGTCGCAAACGCGTGCACGATTAATCGACGATCTATCTTTAACTTTCGTTATAGAAGAAATATTACGGACGGCGATACGTGGATAGCTTTTTCTTTCTTTCTTTTTTTTTTTTATCGAGTTATCTCTCGATAGAATAGGTTTTTATCAGGAAGGAAATTGCAATTCTGCGAGATCATCTACATCGTCTTTCGAACATTTTGCATACGCATAGTATTTTATACGCGGCAATTTGCGATATCGGATATCGAAGGATCGAAGGATTGCAACCTATTCGCTCGACGATCAACTTCATTTATACCTTCTTTCTTTCCTTATTTTTTTTTTTTTTCTTTCTTTCCTTTCAATCAACTTGGAGAGATCTTTCGCACAATTCCCGATTCCAAACGACACGTCTTTCCCTCGATTTTCCACACAGCGCGGAATCTGCATCTGGTGGAAATTATCGAGTAATCGAATTCACCCGCTTTCCGCGCTGAATCCCGATAATTATTAATTGCAAATGGATTTGACGAACGAAACACACGGGCACAGATGGTACAGACGAGGAAGAGGAATCGTGCGGGGCTTCTTCTCTGTCCGCCCTTGCCGATCGATCCCTCGCCCCGATGAAGGATGCATTTCGTTAATAGTTTCCTTCCCTTCGATGGCATTTGTGTAGCTGTTCAACCTTAACCTCTTCGACCATCACCTTGCAATTCTTTTCGAGCCTATCTTTCCTACTTCTCGTCCTACTATCGATCGCTTTTCTTCCTTTCTCCTCTTTTCCCCCTTTTTCGTACACGTTTCACCTGCTTGTGAAAACGATTATCGAGCAAGGTTCATCTTTTCGTCGAGATATCTCCTATCCTCTCATTCTTTATCATTTTCCTCGTCATACGTTTCATTGTTCCAATATTCTTCACGGGAGGTGGACACGTCTCTCGACTTAATTGTGGAACAACTTGTTTCAGCGAATTTATCAACAATAGCCCCTCTGTAGAAACTTGGAAAAACCCCATTGTTTTCCCTTTATCAAATAGTCTATCCTTTTCTTTTTATTTTCTATTTATTTCGTTAAACTCCCCAATTTTTAAAGGAATGCAAATATCGTCACTCTTCAGTTATTATTTCCATTGGATTTGACCCCATAGAAAATAACGACATGGATCTCTACGTTAAATATTTCACAATTTTTCGATCATCTCTATTCTTCCAAATCCTTCGCTCTATTCGCTCGTTATTTCCAGTAAAAGAGAATCCATCGCTCGAGATTTCATCACAGGCGTGATGTTTTAATTAAATTCTCTCTCGAGATACACGAAGATGCGTGTTTCTTAACACGTGGCCAAACCACGTTGCTCGCGAAACCTCTCGTCGTCCCCCGTTGCAAGTCCTGACGAGAGTGGTCCTTGGCCCGGCTGAAAACGCTCGAAAACGAAGGAAGCCAGACATCAAAGATATACCATACACCACGCGAGTTGTTGACCGACAGACTGCGCAAGAAGAGGGTCTAAATTGAGCGAGGCGAATGGTTTGCGTGACGAAGAATGCGGTCTGGCGAAAAGGCGAATGGGGGAAATATTTGGAATCTTGTCCCGAGAGCATCGTCTCCAAAAAAAAAAAAAAAAAAAAAAAAAGAAGGTGTGAAGCTCCGTTCGACATCAAAGATCGCGGACAAGTTTCGATCCGACTGTTTAATTTTCTTAAGAAGAACTTGTTCCAAATTCCGAGAAAATTCTTTATCGAGTTATTTCCTGTTTTCGTTTCCACGCTCTTCCTCGAATAGAAGTGCACACAGGTTTGTAGTTTTATTATAATCACCGGCCTTAACGGCAACGCTGTTTCCAAGTGACTTACGACTTCGTCCCTTCCGCAAAATTAGTTGTAAACTGTCACAGCGTTTTATTCGTATCGTTGGACTGACAGGTGAACGCTCGGTCGCGTGAGAGGGACTGCTAATAAATTTCCAACGACACGCCATTATGGAATGCATAACATGCGCCCGGGAAGAGAGGCCTGCACGGCGATTAATGTTCATTTTCAATGGGGTGGGGAGGGGATTTGAGCTTGACGATTGGACAACGGTTCGCTCGCTGTTTATGGCGAATCGCGTAAACGAGATCGTAAATTTTTGCAGAGAGAGAGAGAGAGAGAGCTTCTCCACAGGGATAACGAAATAATCGTAACGAGGAATTAACGCGAATGGATAATACGCCGTGGTAAATTCTCGAGAACCGCCGAGAGGAGAAGATGGCTCACTCAGAGAAGCATAAATGTGTTTCGCATAATAATTACCATCATCTTTTTTTTCCTCTCCAGGGTTATCAATCATTTACGTAATACAACAGATGCGGTAAACGGGACGGGCATGCGTGTATTAGCTGTATGAGAAGAATATAGACGCCGAGCAGTTGATGCATAACTCTTTTATTAACGCTCGAAATCATTCAATAATAATAATAATAATAATAATAGTAATAATAATAAATAAATTCATCTTTCACATTTTTCATTGCCATCGAAGAATGCGCGAGGTCCACGTCTACTTGGAAACCGTATGCTTGTGTGTCTCTTCGATTCTTTCGTCGAAGTCGCTTCACGGACGAAAATTTCTTGGAGACTTTGATCTCGTGGCCAGGAATCGTCGTCATCGTCGACGATGAGATACGACCGTATCCCCGGATGAACAGGACAGAAACAGACTCCGCTTAATTTCTTCCCCAGACTCGGCATTATTTTTATCAAGAAAAGTTCGCGAGCCAACCTCCTCCCGCAAAAAAAAGATATACCACGTTGAGAAAAAAAGAAAGAAAGAAAGAAAGAAAGAAGAGGTCTTATCAACCGTTCCTCGGTCTCCTCTGCAATTATGTACTTGGCCGGGACGCGATAGAGAACACGTTCCTCGAGCCTTTATCTCCTCCTGTCCTCGAAATAATACCACGGAAACAATACCATTTTTCAATGTACCGATTTCTCCGTTACTGGAAAGAAACACCGATGTTCGCGATCGCTTCGTTGAATTTGGATAATTTCCAAGTCGAGAGGAAAAGTGGTTTGACGAAATTTTGAAGAAGATAATCAACGTGTAATAATTTTTTAAAAAGGGAAAAGGGAAAATTGTAGGTAATCGACGTGGCCTGGAACGAGCGAGTCGAAGAATTCTCCAGTCCTCGAGTTTGCGATTTCGCTCTCCGTTCTTCATTAGTTTGCAAAATGCTGTTCGTTTTGATATTCGAATTTGAATTTTCGCGCGAGTTAATTTAATTAATTGCAGATTGCAATCTATTTCTAGAACCTCTCTCTCTTTTCTTTCCCCATATAAATCTAGGATAAAAGCAAGATATATTATCGTCAACTTTGATATTTGCACCTTCGAGGTTTCATTTCGAGGGATCATACGTGTCCATACGTTGGAGCGTTCGTGATCTTCGAGTTCCGATCGACGAGGTGACGCGTTTACGGTATTTTGGGAATGGAAGAAGGCAATAACACTCGGGGGACTATGTTCGAAGCATTCGCATATTGCACCAGGAAAACATTGGCCTGGTGTACGTGGGACTTGTAATGAAATTCTATTGCGTAGTAACTCTGACCGCAGTCTCGGTATCCTTTGCTCCCTCTTTCTGCTTAACATGCGTGAACACACGTGCACGCAACATGCACGTGTACACCCTGTTTACAAGATACACGAGCGTGTCGCCTGGTAACATGGCTTAACTCGATGCGTTGTTCGTCCTTGGATCAAAAGGAGATTGACCTTTATGGCGTCGTATAAACAAACGAATTTTCACATTAATCTTTTTGATCGTAGCAAGAAATGATACGTTCTCAAATATTTTAACAATTTCTATAATTTCTTGTGCCGATTAATTCCCATTGAATCGTTTGTTGTGCGCAGAATCGTGTGTATCCGATTTTTAACTCTTCCATCGTTACTTTTTTTCTAATCCGTTCACTTCTCGTCTCGCATCTTCTTTCATTTATCATTTATCTCACTTCCCACAACGGAAAGTGAAAGAAATTGCTCCGCGCAATCGTTCTCGAGCAA